CATGGACCTATTTGAGTTTACGCTGCATACACCGTTTGTTTTTTGTAATCATTATATTCAATTTAATACCCTCTGCAAAATTTCGTGTAACCACCATTTACATAAGATAAAACGAAAATATATAAGGCCTATATCAAAATCTGAACCGATTTCAACAAACCTTACCACGCATCATATTTTTTTTTTCAATAGCATTCGCTATGCAAAATTTTACTCAGTCAGACAAATATTGGGAGTTTGGTGTATCATTCACAAAAAATCGGACGAAACTATATATAGAAGCTATATCTAAATCTGAACCGATTTTAACAAAACTTCGCAGACATCAGTCTGCACTTTATTCAGTACTCTGTGCAGAATTTTGTCCCAAATATTGGTAGTTTGGTGCATCATTCACATAAAATCGGACGAAACTATATATGGGAGCTATAAACTCCGCAGACATCATTCTGAATATGATTTAGTACTCTGTGCAAAATTTTGTCTCAATTTGACAAATATTGGTAGTTTGGTGCATCATTCAAAAAAATCGTACGAAACTTTATATGGGAGATATTTCTAAATCTGAACCGATTTCAACAAAACTTCGCACATATTAGTCCGGACCTAATTTAGTACTCTGTGCAAAATTTTGTGCTAATCGGACAAATATTGGGAGTTTGGTGCATCATTCACATAAAATCGGACGAAACTATATATGGGAGCTATAACTAAATCTGAACCGATTTTAGCTAAACTTCGCAGGCATCACTCTAGGCCTAAATCAGTACTCAGTGCAAAATTTTGTCCCAATCGGACAAATATTGGGAGTTTGGTGCATCATTTACCTAAAATCGGACGAAACTATATATGGGAGCTATATTTAAATCTAAACCGATTTCCTCCATTGAATTGTGAATTGTGCCAAATTTCATCCAAATCGGATCATAAATGCGACCTGTACTTTGTTAACAAAAATACATGGACGGACGGACATGCGTAAATCGACTCAAAAAGTGATTCTATTCACATTCTCAAAAGGAACCATGGGTCTACCTCGATTCCTTTTGCCTGTTACAAACATGTGGTGAAGGTTATAAAAACAATGCGTTTGTCAATTTTGTTTGATATTTGTACTTAAAGTACTAAATATTGCATACGACAGAGCGAGTAGAGGTAGAGTCCTGAAATTTTGTACACGGAGGGGAAAAAACGCCTCTCTAACACATGTCCCACACATATTTTGCAGCAAACATATATATGTTTGCAAACAGTCCCAAACATAACATATGTTTGGATGCAAAAATATTTCTATTTTGTTTTAACAAGTTAAAAAAATATTTTTTTAAATTTGTAGTAAAAAGTGCTAAATAGAAAAGGTGAGAGAAAGATTTCAGAATTTTAGTATTACTCTTTGACTATGGCAAATAAAATGTTTTATGAAAATAGTTTTCAAACATTTAAATATAGTTTCTAATCCCACATGGATCTATACTACAGCGAATGATTGTGCGAGACTTAATATACAAATAAGTGAAATTATGCAAACATGCCGCTGAATATCACAAGTACTAAAGTGTAGGCACTTTTAAATTCTAAAGTTTCCAAATTTTCTAAATAAAATAGTACTGATATTTCGAATGATGTTCCCAACCACACTGGAAATATATTATACCACATCGACCTTTTGATGTAATGAATAATGGGCTGGATATATGTAACTTATATCCTCATATATTATTATGAGGATATACTACAAATACCGACAATTCCATTGAGGATTTTTAATACGAAACATCAACGTTTCTGTGCGAAAGAAATACGGAGTAAGATCTGAGATTAAAACAAACATATTAAGATATAAAACCTACAATTAAAATATTTCAAATTTATACTTAATCTAAAAGTATATTGTGTAGCTAAATTAATGTTTATATTTTTAACTATAACAAGTTTCGCTAACAACGTAGCGGGCCTATGCTAGTGCTCTAACAAAATAAAATACCGAATTATAGACATGAACAATTATGCGGTACCGATGTTTTGTTTTCTGAACTATATTTAGTTCAAAACAGTGTGCAAAAAGATTTTGGGAGGTGGAAAATTTTTTATGGATATTGAAGCCCTCATAAATAAAATGCAATATGTTAAACACGTTAATAGAATATATTTTAAGGAGATAGTTCCGCATCGCTAAATTTTTAGAATGGTTTTTGAGAAATTGATATTCGTATGTTTTCATCGTATACGACTATGCATTTATTTGTCTTTGGAGGACATATCTAAAATCTTATGTGGAACATTTTATTAGAATATTCGGAAGTCAAAAAATTAGAATTTAGTCGACGCATTAGTACTTGATATATAAGGAGGATATGGTACACAATAATATTCTTTTTTTGATTCGACTGAAGTCATGCTATCTCAAAGTTATCTGTAGCCGAAAACAAAGGTATAATGTTTATACCCTCAGCCTTATGACAGCCTTATGAGGGTATCCACACTTTTATACTGCAAAAATGTGCCTCATCGAAATATTGGGTTAGACCCTATGTTTCTTTGGATCAAATCCGTCAAATTGGAGTCGATTTACAAATAACCGTCCGTCTGTCAGTTTGGCTGGCTGGTGCACGATAACTCTCGAAGGGAATAACCGATTTCATCCAAACTTTGCACATCGTAAAATGTCTTCCAAACTTAGTTCAACTTCGAAGGTGGGGAATATCGGTCTCGACTTTTGGTCCACGATTAGTCAAAATTATGCTCATAATTAATTTGATAATATCATGCGATCATACTATCCGATTTGAACCTAACTTTGTGCAACCTATTATTTTTATCGAGCTTAGATCATGTCCGAAGATGTGACCCATCGATCCACTACTTTCGGTACCTCCCCCACAAATGCTCAAAATTTTCAATATTTATAAATCCAATAGATCCTTCTGGTACCTTCCACACAAATAGTCACAAATGATTCAATTCGTCAATGTATATAAATTCAATACAAGACGAATGGCGATTTCAACCAAACTTTGCACAACCTATTATCTGTACCAAACCAAGATCAAGTTCGAATAAGGGACTAATTGGTCCGCTCCTTCTGGTACCTCCCCCACAAAGGTTCAATATTTTATAAACTTGTAAATATAATTTAAAGCGAATGGGATAACCGATTTGAACAACCTCTCTGATAAAACAATATACCTTATATAAAGCGAATAATAAAACCTGTGTGTAATTTCTGAGGGTGTATATGTGTCACCTACTGTATATATCTGTCGCAAACAACGTTTGACACTTTTTTTACTTGTTTTTACTCATGTAACTAGCTGGAAAAAATTTAACACGCAATACATCCAACAATTTTTCGTTTACAAATTTATTCACAAATGTTTATTAAAAAAAATAAGCAGAGAGCGGAGCAAGTACAACGAAAATCTAACATTCAGCGGTTTTATATTCTGATTATAGTTCAACAGCTCCACTTTCTAACCCTGGCATAGTTTTCAAATCTTGTTTTCCCGAGGTGATAATTTACGTCATCGAGTAAACATTTTTTAATTTTGTTTTGGTTTTTTATTGATTTGACCCACGGAATATTGACCAATCATCATCTAAACAGCCATTCGTTTTCGGTTGATTGCACCGCCCAAATATCATCTCAACATCTCCGAAAATTATAGACGTCGTTCTAGACCATAACCAGAACTTCATGAAAAATTTAAAAGCGATCTGCGCGACATTTCGACCCTCTATTGGGGTAATAATAATACAAAACAATATCATAACACATAGACACTATTAGATATTTACGTATAACTCCCACATCCGAGTACATACAACAATATATAATAATTGGTATCAATTTAAAGGTCAACCACTCCCCTTGGATATGCTATCAACTTATCGGGCCTATGTGCTTCAGGAGTAAATATATACGCCCCAGAATAAACATTTTGCAATTTTTCACACAAAAAAATTGGAACCCGCTGTATATTGACCGATCTTCATAAAAACAGTCATGCTTATTCTTTGTGGCATCTGGAGCGACCAGAAAAAATAGACAAAAATAACGTTTATTGTCCATTTCATTTCCCAAATATTAACCGACCATACAATAGGGGTTTTCATTGGCCAGAACCATTAGTTGACATGCAATATCTTTGGCCTCTTTCGTGTTTACAAATTATAATGGACAGACGGACACACATGTCTAGATCGACTCAGCTAGTCGATATATGGCGATAGGTACTAAAAGGTGGGTATAGGACCAATATGTGGACATGGGACATGGGAGGTGATTCTTCAAATATAATGCAGAATATTATGTCATTGGTTACTCCAATGGCATATTGCTGAGAAGATGTGCAGATTTGTGATGTCCCAACCCAAACTAGGCTAAGAAATGCATATCGGGCATTACCTGGCTCAAATTTGTTACCATCTAACCATTTTGCTATACATATGTTTTCATTTCCTTATAAGAACTGCAATAATATGCCGAACTCGCCCTAACTTTAAGTTATTAAACCCCTCATTAATTCGTTGAGTTAAATTATTATTCTTCCATCTTACAATAAAAATCAAACTCTCGTTTGATTTTTGGAGGCTCATAGTATATAGATTCAATTGAGAACAACAATCTGTTTTTGGCGGTTTATAATATGGACTTTATCCATATTTCAGATCATCGGTCTATAGTCCCGAAAATGTTCCACAAAATCGACTACTTACCATATTTTACTCATTTCGAATGCAGTCAAATTATTATAGTAATAAAATATATATTTATATTTTCTTAAAAATTATACAGTCTCTAAAATTAGTTCAATTTTATAACATTAATCAACAAACTAATCATTTAAAAAAATGCCCAGCTTGGGTAAACTTCGCATTAAATGTATTTTTATATTTTCCAAATTTCTATCAATCCATTGAATATTAAAATTGATGGTTTCCACAGTCGATGGAAGAAGGATAACTTTCTTTTGGCAATTCATTTTCATAGAATCTAAAACATCCGTTAATTGTTTCTCCTCTTCTCGGGTAAAAATACGCGTCACCAATGACCTAACCAATTCGCCAACATCATATTCACGACATAGCCGTTCCGAATTGTCAATGAAATATTTTCGTGCCAATTGAGAATGGTTTTCACTTTCCGCTATTGCCTTAAAGGCATTTAAAACTGAATGATTGGATATTTGATTGTCGGGATCGAAAATTAAATTCAGATAATTGTTGATTATTTCGACATTGGTGGAACATGCGAGAGCGTCTAGTAGATCGTAATCTTGCGATTGCACAAAACGTTGCCATAAAAATAACCAATCTCCCTTTGAGCCATGGCGTATGGATGTGCAGTATATGGTTTCCCTTAAATGTGGCGGCATCAGATTTATTTCACTGCCATCATCGGGGTTTTGGTATAATTTCCATTTTTGGAAATATGACATGGCTGCTTGAATACAATTGTCCAAATTGGCACGGCAGGCCCATTGTGTTGCACGATATTTAAGACGATTTTGAAAAGGTTTTGTAATATTAACGTCATTCGAGATATCCATACCGCCCAAATAATGGTAAATTGGTGAAATTATATACCGCAGAAATTTTCTAAATAACTCATAGTGATGTGGAAATTGTTCCAAAATAGAACTGAGATCGGTGAGACTGCGAATCACCAAACTCCATGGTAAATATTCACGTTCCTGGTGTAAATATTCCATAATATCCAATGCTATGTCGTAATGTTGATAACCGTTCCATGCTAGCGATAGAACATCATTTATGATATGACCACGATTAAGGATGTGAATCTTTTCGAAATCTTGACTCTTCAGAACTTCGCCAATCAATTGCCAACTAATGGGGTCATACATTACTCTATAGATTCCCGACAATTGTATATTGAGTATTATCCACTCATGGCTTCCGGTTACATTACACAGTTCGAGAGGAATTGTTTTATCCGATTCGTCACATTCCAACCAAATTCTAGGTTCCGTAGCATTAAAATTCATTTCCGAAGAGGTAGTAAAACTCAGGGGAACCCACCAACATCTTGAATCTGACTCCATGGGAGTTGTAACGATGTCTAAGTATCTTTGCTGTGTCATTTCCACACAGCCCGTTTCCATGTTACGTTTTATTTTTATCAATGGAAATCCCGTTTGTTTAGTCCAAGTATCCATAATGGTTTTTATGTCATAGTGCGATTCAAGGCGTTTATATTTATGACCAATTTCATTGAATTTCAGCCACAAATCGTTTTGCTCTGCATTTCGAAATTGATATTTCGACAAATAATTACGCACCGCCTCAAAGAATGCCTCATGGCCCACCAGCATATGCAACATTCTTAATATTGAAGATCCTTTCCTATAGGATATGCTATCGAAATGACTTCTAATTTGAGTGATATTTAATATTTCTGCCGATAGTGGGTGGCTATCCAGTCTGCCATCCCTTTCAAAGGTCGAAATTAAAAATAGCAACGAATCCATTTCGTAAGCTTCAAATTCGGGATGTAGATGTTGTACACCCCAAATGGCCATGTATGTGGCAAATCCTTCATTTAGCCACAAATCATTCCACCATTTCATTGTGACCAAATCTCCAAACCATTGATGAGCCACTTCATGGGATATAAGTCGGGCGGTATCATATTTATTCCAACCAGCAGTGGAATTTGGTTGATGGAGTATAGCAGTTTCGCGATAGGTTATCAGCCCCCAATTTTCCATACCGCCCTTATAGAAATCGGGTATGGCTATTTGATCTAATTTTTTAAGGGGAAATGGTCCCAGCAAGCTTTCGTAGTATCTCAAAACCTTAGCTGTCATTTCAGCAGCATAATTCGTTTGATCAAGACCGTTGGGTCTAGTCCAAGTCCGCAGTAAAACATTTGAGGCTTCAGATTCTTTATATATGAAATCATTTATACTATATGCCACCAAATATGTGGACATGGGTGGTGACTCCTCAAATATACTCCAAACGAAATCTGGAATATTTTCCAACGGCATTTGCTTCTCCAATGGCATATTGCTGAGAGCATTCAGGGATTTGTGATGACCCAACCAAATTGTGAAATTTGCTTTATAAATTGGTTCATCTAGGCAGGGAAATGCAGATCTGGCATAGACAGGTTCAAATTTCGTAACCGATAACCATTTTGTAATATTTGTTTTCACATCCTTATACGAACTGCGATAATAACCAAAAAGGGTTTCACTCAAATTTCCAGCAAAGTCCAAATGTAATTCGTAGTCCTTTCCCTTTTGAAGTCTTTGACACAACAACAAAATGAAGAAATCATTTTCCTCAACTCTCTCTACACCATCTAAGCACATTTGAAAATCGTCGACACCCTTAGATTTTAATTCGATATTGGATTCATTGATAGCCAGATAGTGGGCATGCAAAGTTATATTTTCGGTATCTTCTAAAACGTGAAAGCTTATCTCAACTTGACCTTGAAATATTAAATTTCTAGGATTATCCAAAAATGTTATTATTTTGAGATGATAATGTTCGGGGCGTATCGTGGCTGGTAAACGGTAATTATTATTAGACACCGTTTCGTTGCAGAGGCAACCCACGACGATTGTGGAAAGTAAAATAAATCCGTACGAAATCGCCTTCGTCATCTTGAAATAGGTATGTGCTGAAATTTAATAATAAAATATATTAAAGATCTGTTGATACCAAAATGATTTCAATTTGAGTTTAATTGTTACACAAATGAGAATATAATCCCAGTAATCAAATACAACAACAATTTTGTTCCTAGAATGTGTGAGGAAAATGTGCTCCTCGGAATCGACAAAATTTGAAACAAAACTTTTTGAAGTAATTTTAGAGTTCGACGGACAAGATACACTGTGACAAAAAAAGAGGATGAAAACTTTGACGATCACGAGCGATTATATTAAGAGCCCTGGAGGACAAGTCTGCCATAGGTTAGGTTTTTGAGTTATGTCTAAAATTTGGGAAAACATTTTATATTTCTTATTTGAGGCTATTGCAGGTTATTTTTGAGATCACATGTCTTCAGTGAACTCGAATGATTTTTTATATCTAGTACTTGTGCGTCTTTTTCTTACAAGAAATCGATATTGATCATCATCCTTTTCCACTTTTACACGATCCTTGATCAGAAAAACTAATATTTACGAACACTAATAAAATCCGCATAAAATATAATTTAAAAATATATATTTAAATACTACCTTTGTTCCGTCCTTTGAACCGTTTTAATCCGAAAACAACGACAATATTCCAGGAGTACAAAATCAGTATTTATAACATCCCAGCTCTGTCCATTCTCATATCAGTGAACATTCAAAAGGTTAGCCATTAAACTGTCAACAAGATCATTAGCGCAAAATAATCAACACAATTGAAGACAAAATTTTGAATAAAAAATTACCGATAGATTCGTTCGTACCTTGGAAATGCTACTCGAAGACTAATTCAGAAATGCAAATGAGACCGTCATCTGAGTGGCAGTTGTCAGAATCACTTCTGCATATTGTTGCGGTGTATAGATATGAGACTTTGAAGAAAAATTCGAGGCTAATGTCTCACAGGTAAATTAGCGACAAATTGGAACTGTATTATGTTGTGGTTTTCACACAAATTGAAATCGTTATGTGAATTGATGTGAAGAATCATTAGCACTCGTGTTTTTCAAGAATACTTGAAAAACTTGAAAGTTGCACTATGATGCGACATATTAGCATGCAGAACTGAAAAAATGTAATTTTTGTCGGAGAATATCCTTTGAAAGACATGAATTTCTGGCAAAAGCTAATAAGTTGTTTACTGGGTTTGAAGGTTTGCAAATTCTCTATACCTGCTGTCCTTGTGTCCAGTCCACTCGTTATTCCAAACGATTTTAGAATCTCCATCGTCCGTGACCTTACTTCTAGATATTTTGTAGGTCAGTATTACTACTGGTGAGTTGGTTGGCTTTCTCATTCTGTGAAGCATAGCCGAATGCTAAGGGACGCATCCACAGGTTGCGGACGCAGAAAAGTCGAATAGAAGTATTGGGCTAGCAGACAGTCAGTGGGTCACTGGGTTTGTCTCGGAAGAACTGACCGGGTGCGGATGATCCTTGGACTGACAAATTGTGTATTGGAAAGATCAAAAGTCGGACGGGAACGACTATATGATACGCTTCTCCACTTTGGGTACATACAAGAGATGCTCATACATACAATATACTTTATATATGGATGCTATATCTAAAACTGAATCCAATACGCTATGCACTATTTCATGTAAATCTAACAGGCATAGGCTCCTTCATTTGCATAAAATCGGACAAAAATATATGAGGGAGCTATATCTACATCTCAACCGATTTCAACAACAAAATATCATGCAAATAGAATAGGATCTATGGTAAACCATTAACATAAAATGGGACTAAAGTATATAAGTGAGCTATATTTAAATCTGAACCGCGGTCGTCAACCTGCAATAATTTCAGGACGTTGTCTCAATCGGACAAACATTGACACTATAGTGCACCATTTGCATAAAATCGGAGGAAACTATATATTAACCGATTTCAACAAACCTTCGCATACATCAATCTGGACCTAAGTATGCACTAAGTCTGGACCTAAGTCAGTACTCTGTGTAAAATGTTGTCCTAATCGGACCAATATTTGCAGTATGGTGCTCCATTTATATAAAATCGGACGAAACTATATATGTTTGCGATATCTAAATCTGAACCGATTTTCTCCAATTTCAATATAATTTTCCTTGGGCCAAATAAGTGACCTGTGCAGAATTTCATCATAAATGCGACCTGTACTTTGTTCACAAAATTACATGGACGAACAGACGGACATGCATAAATCAGCTCAGAAAGTGATTCTATACATATTCTCAAAAGGAACCATAGGTCTATCTCGATTCCTTTTGTTTGTTATAAACAAAGACATAATACCCTGTACCACAGTGTGGTGAAGTGTATACAAATGGGTTATTGGAATCCTTCCCTGTAGGATGTTTCCCTAACGAATACATGGTTATCAGTGTTTTACAGTCAGGGTAATGACTGTATTCTAACGGAGACTGATTGATACTAGGACACCTAATCGTGGATGGACACATTTTATTAACTGCTTTGAATGACATCACCAATCCAACATTGAGGAATACGGCAGTTAGGACTTAGCTTATCGGATACTGTGTCTACAGACATAGATGCATGGTAAGACATAGAGTAGAAGTATCAAAGAGCCTTTGGAAACGCCACTACCGACTACTTAAACTTAAAGAGCATCAATTGTTAACACTAGAACGCCGAAGGCAGTCATTTTGACCGCTTTCCAATTTCAAGTAAAAAAGCAACTGTGCATTTAATGACACTTTTTTTTAAATTTGGTGACTTTTTGTATCTCATAGAATTAAGTTTATTATAAAAAAATCACAAAATTTAAAATAAAAGTGTCATTAAATGCACAGTTGCTTTTGTACTTGAAATTGGAAAGCGGTCAAAATGACCGCCTTCGGCGTTCTAGTGTTAAAGAATGGCGAACCATTAATGTCATCTCATTTCGATTTAGGCTTTCTTTAGAGTCGTTCACTCTCATTGTGATTAATGGCATATGTGCTTTTTAGCATTTGGATTTTTCATACCCTCAGTCATATGGCTAATGAGGGCATATACACATTGATACGCAAAAATGTGCCTCATGGAAATATGGTTTTTAGTATCATGTTTCTTTGGGCCAAATCCGTTTCGGACAATTTCCGTCTGTCTGTCTGACACGATAACTCACGATGGGAGTAACAGATTTCATCCAAACATATTTAATTTATTTAATATTTCTTGGAAACTTAAATCAATTTCGAAGATGGGGAATATGAATTTACTTCTTCTGGTACCCACACAAGTTGACCAAATGTTGCTGACAATTTATTTTATAATAGCTCGTGAACGGACCATCCGATTAGAACTAAACTTTATACAACGTAATATTATAATCATGACTGTGTAATGTTGAAAGATGGTACTTAACGGGCCGCTCCTTCCAGTAACTCCCCCACAAATGGAATCCTTACATCAACACAACCCTAAGATTCTATTATCGAATGAATAACATTTTAGTACTTATACGATTTTCTAAAATTCATTTTGTATATCCACCCAACATTTGCTACTGTTTTTAGTAAATTTTCGTACCATGTTATGGTATGGCATTGTCCGCCAACATCAGGTCCTTCAGTTTTCTGTAAAGGATATTCTCCCCAGAATATCTTTATATTACAAATTCCCAAATACTCCTTCCCCGATTTTGAATAAATTAAACAAGTTACACAAAAATATATTTTTTAAAATAACACATTTCTCTTTTAATTTTTATTCATAATTTTTTCATTTTCATATATTTTCATTTTATTTGCAACGTTACTTCTTTGTTTTATTAAAATTCTGCAATGTGTGTTTACATAGTTTTGTATTTTTCATTTATTAATTATTGTTATTTAGATACGGTTTTTGTTTTGCAACCATTATCGATTTATTTTTTATTTGTTGTAAACTTATTATTATTAATAAAATATTTAACATATTCTTTTTTATTATTATTTTATATCACACCTGCAGGCGAATTAAGATTCGCTGCTTTCTATGTGTGTGTGGATTTGTATTGATGTTATTTTCGAATTTGTTTATATGCATTTGTGTGTGTGTGATTTTTTCTTGTATTTAACTATATAAATATATGCTGTTGTTGTTATTATTCTTATTGTTGTCAATTAATTTGCTTTAGAATTTAATGTTTTGTTATTGGTTATTTTTTAATTACATTTTTACTAAAATTTCACACAAATATTTTTCTTCGTTTGGTTTTTAAACGAATTTTGCATGTGTGTGTGTGTGTGTGTTGTATCGGTTGGCAAATAATATGAAATATTAATCAACTAATTTATTATTTTATCTTTAATGTTTTTTTAGCTTATTTATTAAAATTGTCATTTTGTTTTGTTGTTGTTTTGTTTTATATCACTTAATAACACTTAATATATAAACGGCAAATGCTAAAAGATTTCAGTTTTATAGGTTGTCCATTTGTTTTTTGTTATTGTTTCGGTAATGAGAATTTCAAAATAATTGTGAGGGGCATTTTCTTTTTAATTTAGAATGTTTAATAAATTCTTAACAGTTTTTTATATTAAACAAAAAATGTTCATTGCTAATTTCTATTTTGAATACAAATTTAAGGGTTTTGTGAATTTTTATTGCAGGCTATAGGATATTTCCACATACAATTCATTGAAAAATTATATTCACGAAGGAAGCGTATTTTCTATAGTAAATACGAGTTCAAAAACTTTTAAATCATTTCAAGAATTGTGTGTGTCTATAAGTGGTCGGATACTGTATTTCTTTATTTCATTAAATGCAAAAGTATTGCGTGCTTTTAGGCTGCTCTGATTCATTAATTTTGGAAGTGGGGTTAAAAAGTAGAATTTAAGATTTTTAATTATAAAATAAAATTTATTGATTAATGTGCCGATATTTATTTGAATCCAATTATATATAGGATTTTAGGCATTTTTTGTTACTTACAACTACTCTATTTTGTTTTTTTTTTTTTTGGAACGCTACAATTTTTTTCTT